GTGCGTGAACACACTATGTGTGGACACAACGCGCGGTTACCCAAAGGCATGTTCAGTTATCATACCCATCAAATTGACATGATTGTAGCCTGTATTACTCCAGAAATAAAGCACTATATCTCAAGTAAGGCTCGACTTACAAAGGAAGTCAGGATTCTTGAAGTCCTTGACAAAAGGCATACGCACAACGACGGCAGCGCTGGCACTAAAGAGGGTAGTAGTCAGTCATTTGGCCGCAAGCCGACGGATGTAGAGCACGAACATGCAGGCCATGGCCATGATTGGAACTAGAGCTAGCTTGGTCTTGTGGTCCATTTTCAGTTTCCAGATGAGAACCATGGGCAAAATAGCAAACGTAAAGTCGCAGATGACGCTGAAGGCGCTGTAGAGGTAGGTAAGAGCGATGATGACATCCACGGGGATGCAGCGGCCACTTTGGGTCGTGTTGTTCCAGAAGTAGGATATCGGTTGACATTGGAGGAGAGTGACGAAGAAGAAGACGACGCCGGTGCAGACTGTCATCATCATGACACTGTAAATGATCCAAACGTCGACCTTGCGGACCGTGATTCGGAGGAGGAAGTAGCCGATGGAAATTTTGGAGGCGATCATCGACAAACAGTACCACAGATAGCAGTACCACCAGAACTTCAGTGTGTCAGTGTCTATCCTCCCATCGATTTTTACCACCCCAAAAGGATGAAGAGGGCTGTCGGAAGCTTACCATCATGGCGGTTGACCACTGATCATCGGTGAGATTCACCTTGTGTCGACCCGTTCCGTAATGCACACCCGTAATGGCACATGCTACAAAGAGGATGAATGATGTCTGCAAGTTGGTCCTCTGGTCAGCTTGAAATCTCCAACATGTCATCTCGGGCGCATCGGTGCGAAGGAAGAGGAAAAGATTGGTTTCCGTACAATCGCAGCAAGCATGCACCAGTCGTCGACTCCGAAGTTCTTGACGAGGAAGATTCGGACATAGCATCGGAGAGTCGTTGCGACAATGGCTGTTGTGACGAGCGTTATGCCGACGGCCACCAGCTGCGGGCCGCGGTTCTCGATTTCCGCCATCGTGGTCGGAACAAGACGATTCAAGGTCTTTGATATCCGTACTCGGGCAAAGGAAAAAGGGATCGAACGACGAGTCGTGTTTGTCAAGGGAGGGGCCGTGAGAGGAACCGCAGATTCGGGACGTCGTTCTTCGGGTTCTCCATCCTGACAGGAACGAAGAGGGATGGGAGGGACCTTGTTGAAGATATGCGTTCCTGGACAATGTGGGAAAAAAACACGGAATTGCGCTACTGCGCGCGTGTGAGTGCGGCCTGGCCCTGTTGCTGCCATGCGGCGTGAGTGGAAGAAGAGAGGAGAGAGACACCAGCACCCCTGATCGTCACACTTACACCTGCGCAGAACCTTGCAGAATGCAACATGGGCAGGCCACCCCGGGAGGCTTCAATTGCAGCTTCTGGAGAATCTATCCCGTATTGGAGTGAGATCTTCGCATGCTAGGCTATGTTGAAAGCGGGTAAGAGGTGTCGACCCTGGTGTGAGCAAATGTCGGCAGATGGGGCGAACCACATCTCGGGTAATCCAGCCTCACACGCTATCGCCCACGTTGGTGTTAGTTTGGTGGTTAGTAGCCGGTGGAATGGCCGTATCCAGCTACCGGCCGAAGAGTCCACTGTCTGGAATCCTTCCCCCGCATTAGTTCCGAAGAGATTGAAGACTCTTGAACCTCGGGGGGTTCCCTTCGCCAAGAGTCGCGAGATGGTGAAAGAGATTCAGGGGTCCTGTCGTGGTAGGGTGACAATGGGCCGCTCCTCAAACACAACTCCGATGCCTTGCTGTCCCTGACCAGCTTCCCACGAGGTGTGGCAGGGAACGAAATCCACCGCGATGGAGGATTGGGAAGAGTTGGGGGCCATCTCGATGATAATCGCCTGCTTTCGGAAAAGTTACGATGGCGAATGGCACTGGCACGCGTGCATGGATGCATTGCTGAACCTTGACCTGCCATTTTGTTTCCAGAGGGCTAAATTGATGGATTCGGGCAAGAGGAAACTTTTCTCTGCATTTCTAACCGTAAACCCATCTCATCGGCAAATGTCTTTCCGGGTTGGGACTTGACCATTCTATGTACAATACTACCTTACTGTATAGCACCCAGTCCTTCCGGACCGTAGTAGCAAGGGGAAGGAGAACGGGAAATTTCCTCTTAGTATCCGTATCCTCGCGTGCATAATTGCGACTGTGCTGTGCTGGTGTTCTGCAGCCCATGCAGAAGCGAGCTCAATTCAGAATCTCACCCAACATGGCACCACTTTTTTCTCACTTGATTCTGCCTGCTTTGGCGACATGGAACCACCCCTCAATTGTCTGACAGCACTGCTCCGCCCGGCTCACGCCAAACGCGTTGACTATCGACAAAAGCAGTAAGCAGAACGGCCGGCGGCCGGAGGCGGACATTGCCGGAGTAATGCAAGTTGGGCGCTGAGGCTTGAAAGTAATAAGGAGTCGTGGCAATCTGCTACCCAAGCTGTGGAGGTTGGAATTTCACTGGGACCTTCGCACAGACAGCATTGGGTGACTGTGCGGACATGATGGATGACATGGCCATGGGAACACAAAAGAGCACAAAGCCACGCCCAACCGAGTTCTGTTCTGCGACTGGCTGGAAGTTTGGGAGATGCTACACTACCTACACTAGAAGGAGGAACAAAAGTGTCACCCCCAACGATGTGGACTGAAGCCGATGCTATTCTGCAATAGGGAACTGATTGTCTCAGACCATCTCCACTCGTATTACGGTGTCATCGGCGTCCCATTTAGGGGAGACCACCCGGACCAAGCCAGCCGGCCCTTTGCGCCTCCCTTCTGACACTGACAGCTGTCTACGGGCGTAGTGTAGTCAACCACATGATGGGGCTTCCTCTAGGGCGGTTCTTGTGGTGGCTGTTGCTTCTACGGCTTCTTCTGACGCTTCTTCTTCATCTACCGTGTGGGATTGTGGCTTGCAATCGGCTAGTTTCTGAGACAATCATGACAGGTCGCTACTGACTCTTTGGCTTCCTCTCCATCCCTCGCAAGGAGGTGATGCAGGGTCCTTGAAGATTGTCTTTACGATTGGGGCAAGATTGCAACTTTATTTCTTCATCTTACTTTTGACAGCCACGAGCATGTCCAGCCATACCATACACACTATTGCCGCCAGTTCCCAATCTACCAGCGATCCGGTGGTTTCATTTACCAACGCCAAGGAGCCTCAAGGACTGACAGACTACTTGTACATACAGTTCGCGACTGACCCGCAGCTCTTGATCGGATAGAAGACCAGGAATTGCGTCAGATTTTGATCCTTGTTCTTGAAGAGGAGCCCGGGTGTCACGGATGAATGTCCGCTGGTCCCAATTTAAATCCACGCCGCCCCAACGCACAGATAGTTGGCCACCACAGACACGTAGGAACGCTCTTTTGGTGGGGGCCACGAAGACCTGATCAAGCAGACGATCTGCTTCTATCAATGCGACCTGATATCCCGTAAGGCGAAGGCGCTGCCCAACAAGCTCCTGTGCTCCTCCGAGCAGAAAATCAGCTCGCAAATCTGGAGTCCAGCCCTTCTGTTACCCTTGCCTGCTGTCGTATTATAGTGTCGCTGGCGCTGTTTTGGTGACATGGCTCTCCTAATTCGGTCTCGCTACCAAACTCCGTAGTCAGTCTTAACAAGCACCATCGAACTTAGCGTACAAGTGATGTGTGCTATAGTATTCATGCTGGCAATTCCTGCTAATACACGACTGCCGCGGCAGTACCCCGGGCGATCATCTCGTCGGTAAATGCTGGTGTTGAAATAGCCTGCATTTATCATGACACTCAAAATGTGCGGCACATGCCGTTCTGATCCTGAATGAGTTGGATTCGCGACCTAGCCAACAAAACGTTACCTAAAAGGGAGGGAACAGCAGCAGGGTCTGCAAAGAGTAGGTGAGTCAAGTGAGTGTTACATCGGGTGGGGGGATGGATAAGACAACAGGACGATCATCACTTATCGACACACATGAAACTCGTCGACATCTGATGGAAGATATCGTTACTAGGATGGTAAGTAACATCAATCATTATGATTGTTGCGACAGTCTAACTGCGGTGCTTTGCAGCCCTGTTCACTCATCTTCCCCGATTGACGCGTTCCGCAGAGGATGAAAATCAAGATACTAGACTTGCTAGGGTAACATTAACAACTACCAAGTAAAAGTTACGTTGCTGTCTAGAACGATCGCCGCCATAGACTGGAAACACCGAGCAATTTGCCATCGAATGTGTCTGGGCCACTACACCACAGCGCTGGGATAAGGCACTCTTAAGATAATCCAGCTGTGTTACGGAGGTGAGTACTCCGTAGCCAGATTGCAATCGAGAAGCAAAGCCCCAGAGTTCTGAGACGTGTCTTTGGCGGTTAATCAGGTCGCCCAGTGAAATGCCGCATCGTTTGTTATGACCCTTTCTCTCTATTGGACACGATTGGCCAAATTAGACTTTCAGAGTGTTGTTGTGTCTTTGCCAGATTTGTAAGGGACAAGAATCTTCGGTTAGCCTGGACCGGTATTGCAGATAACACAGCTTCTGCAAGGAATTTATTGATTCAAGTCAACACGACTTTAAACACGTTTTGTGAAGAAATCGTTCCAACTCAGGACCATGTTGCAGAGCGCGAGAGATTACTTGGGTCAGTCGCTGCCAGCTCAATATTAGGTTCTGTGACTGAAATCCCCAGCATCATGATTCAATAAGATGGAATTTTCATGCACACGTTTTTAGATACCGTGTTTCGAACGTAGGTTGTCGGTGACTTAGGCCTAGGTATGGTGCTAAACATGCCTCCAGTCACAAGTGCCAGGGTGCGATATTCAGGCGTACAAGCTAGCTCAAGCTGAAGCGGTGGCCACACTAAAACCTGAAAGCAAGATGTTGTACCCAACAATTCCAATGCTCAAGTGCTAAGATAATGCCAACCGAGCCTCGCAAATAACTTGACGGGATGAACGTATTGCCTAGTTTACTACATGGCCGAGCAAGACACTCGAGCAAACAGGTACAAGAGGATGAAGCTCAGATATATCAGAAGTCCAAAACAACAAGACAGCCAAAGGTACTTCAACTTTTGCGAATCCACCCAGCAGGTCGTTTCCATGGTTCCAGCGGTGACGGATGCCGCCAAATGTTCTGGGCAAACGTAGGGTCGTGGCTTACTGACAATATCGATCTGAGGGAGATATTGGCAAGAACTTCCTACAAAGGTGAAGTTGACGTATCTTCTGGCCCAATGAGATGAACTCGGAAAAGAGCTTCCATGCCCACTTTGTGATGATGACATAGATTGGATATTGGCTAGCTCACGACTCGAAGAACATTCATTATTAGCTACCATCATGGCAGTATTCAGTTTTGTCAGAACTGATAGTTCTTATGTATACATTGAATGGCATCAGTACTGACGATGTCGGCTGAATAGTGGCAACAAGCAGTCTGAGTGACATATAAGTCTGACCGATAGCTTGTGATATGAATAAGTTTCGTGGAGTAACCATTGATATGACATTGCACCCGACGTCAAGGCTTGAACCTGTATGGAGAAAAGTTTGGCACCTATCCATGGTCTCCCACTTCTTGATGATACTTCATGTTAAGAAAAAATATCTCATCCTCAACATATAGCTGCCAGATACTACTCCTTTTCTAGCGGTACTCGTTCTTGAACGCCAGCTAAACAAACCATGGGTAGCAGATATCCGCAACCTCCCCTGTGAGGTTGTCTGGGGCTAAGAAAAGTGTAAAAGCATGCATATTTTACCAAAGACGACGGTTATCAGCACTTCTTCCGTGAAACTGAGCTATGAAACTTATCCGATAATGATATGCCTTCGGCTGGACATTTTGGCTATTTTGGCAGCTGCGAAACTATGGCAAGCCGGCAGATGAGGACTGTATACATGATACACGCGGAATCTTTAATCCTGAGCCTAGTTCCAGTTGGCTGGTACTACGAGCCTGTGACATAGTAATTCAGGACTTTGTCTACAATCAACTGAAGATTTTGCACGAGACGTGTTCACACTAATACGGTTAAGCAAAACAGACATGTTCACCATCATAGATGAAAACGCTATCAGCCGTACTGAGATGAATCATCAGGTCTATCAGAGTCATATGAGGCGACCGCGGTACGCCTTTCTAGTAGACCATTCTTCTCACATCGCCTCTGCAGCGGAGAGCCTAGCTTCGATGCTCCGACGCCAAAGAGAAGACGCTAGTTTGTTAGAATGTTTCTATCAGACACAATGAGT